AAAATTCCCTGCACACACCTGTAACAAGCATGATGGGGAGAAAACAGGGTGAAACACTTCAGACAAAATTTAACAGTTTAAGTATGTTTTGCTGAAATGTACTGTGATTATTATGAGCTGCCCTTTACTCCACTCTAAGTTTGTGCATGGGGGCATAATTAAAATAGAATTACACAGGGACCAAAAAATAAAAAAAAATACTTGGCAATGTTTAACCACATTTGCAGCCCCGACACCAACTGGCACCAGTTAGACAGAATTAGCATTCCAGAGGGGAAACAACGGCGTAGTGTCAGCAAAGCCGCAGGACGAAACAGAACTGAGGCTGATTCACATACTGATTGAATTCACACTGACAGAGCAACACAAACAGAATTAAACTTGACCTCAAATGCCTGCTGTCAGAGCCCTGCTTTAGGCTGCAACACAACAACTAACCTAAAGGTCATCTTCAGATTTCTGAATGTGAAAAAGAAAAGGTTTTACCTTGCGCACTTGGAAGAGTCTGGCGTCGCTGCAGAGGTCGCAGAAGCGTGGCAGCAGCAGATGCTCCACTGTGTCTTTGCTCAACATGGTGACAACTTTACACATGATCTGTGTGACACAGCGAAAGCAGATCAGGAACTCAAGTTAAAGGAGGTCAATAAAACTAATCTAAGTCAAACTGGGTTCATTTGTATGCATTGAAACTCTTTAATGATAACATAAGAAAGAAGAAATGGGTCAAATGAATAAATGTTTCTTACAGCAACTGCCTCAATTTTGTAGTCATCATCACTGCTTGGTTCTGTCAACTCGAGCAGAACAGGACAAACTTTGGTCTCCATGTCAGCTTTAGAGATGAGGCCCTGCTCCAACAAAACCAGCAGCGCTGCCTGACTCGTTTTCCGCACCTGCAAGCAATGAATGGGTCGATTGTTAAGTCAATATGCAAAAACACAAATGCTCCGTTTTTAAAATCCCCAAAACATACTTATTTGTACTTAAAATGCTTTGCTTATTTTTACAGTTCACCTAAAGAAGTGATTTATTTGAAACCTACCTGGTTATTCGGATCTGTAAGATACCGGACTACAATGGGGACCAAGTATCTGGAGAAGGCGGCAGGGAAATTCGGCCGACTCTCGTGCAAAAACATGGCAATATTAGGGACTTGCTCCATCAGCTCCGATCGCACAGTGGGCTCTAACCACACACATCACAGCGTCAATTTAATAAACCAAATTAAAACAAGGCAGCTGAAACAAAAAAATTAAAAGAAAATACATCTACCTCCATCCTCTGACATTCTGGCAATTGTCTCCATGACACTGATAAAGTCATTTTCATTGTCACTGAACTCTCGAAGCACATCAAGCAGGCCGCGCGCCACGATCTGCCTAGAAAGCAATAGCTCCAAGTTAGTGGTATGCCTGCCAATACCTACAAGGGTCAAGTTCGCAAAGCACAACACGCAGCTCTGAAAGCAACGCCAAGTACATTCCACACACATCTACTTCAAAATAAAAGGATGACTTAGACCCGCACAGCAGAGCTTAAAAAGCACAAAGACAACAGCTGGAATCAGTACTTGCAGCACCACATGAGACAAAAACAAAGGACTTTAGGACTGTGGGGTTATTTATGAAAGCTGCATCAGGCAAAGAACATAACTTAAGAACATAACTATCTTTCAAATTAAAAAAATCTACATATTAAGACAGAGAGGTAAGAAAACATTCAAAGAGTTTTCTGATATTCTTTTACAGAAATTCATTTCAGTAAATCTTCATAAAGTGTTCCTATCACGTAACCTAATGCAATTTATTATTTGGACCATGAACATTTTTTTTTTATTGCTGCACAATTTCCTAGTAATGATTGACTCCGGTTAATATCCTTTCCATGTAAATTCTGATTCATTTGCTGACGTCTCCTTTTTGCAAAGATGCCAAAATTGTGCTGCAGATAGAGAGATTTTAAAAGAGATTAATGCATTAGTTATATGCATAACTGTTGCATATTTTTGCTATTCAAATTTTTTAGAGAACACAAGTGAAAATCATTTGATGAAAAGAGAAATACTGCTTGACATTTGTTACTTTTGATAAATAAAAAGCGAAGATGATTTTCTCTTTTTAAGAGGGAGAATTGTCTGAGAATTTGTTTGATTTTCAGACAAATATTAGATTGTTTCCTCTCTAAAACTATATCAGCAGCAAACAGGTGAAGCACAGGTTGCAAAAGAGGTGGTGATCTTAGTGTTAACCTGTTTTTAGAAGCCAGGAAAATTAGCTGCCTGAATACAAAACTGAACTTACCTGTTGAAGGTATTTTCGCTGAAGGCGTACTTCTCTAACCTTCCCAGAGGAGTAAGGTTGTCTTGTCCAGCATCAAGGAATGCTGTGATACGGATGCCATCGCAATCTGCAGCGTAATCATCAAATCCAACTGTGGGTAGAAAACATTTTTTTGTTGTAAGCTAGATCAAAATCAAGAAAAATGTATATAACAGCAGTCTCATGTGGCATTATAAAAAGTTATGTCAGAAATAAAGTGCAGGATTTTCTTGAGCATGAATATTCTGCAATTTAATAAGATTTACTTGATTTATTTGGCTAATTTAGGCTGCAATGACAGCTTACTATCAATTCTAAAAAGTTGTCCAAAAAGAAAATAACTTCTAGGCAGAATAAAATTCATTGTGTTTTAAGTGTTTATATTTTGTCATACAAATTTATTGATATACTTACAGTCGTCCATATCATCATGTCCATCTTCAAAGTATAAAGATAGACCTGCAACAATAAAACAGTAGAAGGGGAGCTGGATTTATACCACTGGGTTCACAAACTAAATATAACATTTGGTGAACAACAGCGTTGTATCAGGTTATACTGGGATGACTGACTGCATTTCATCTTTTTTTGTGCCTAAATATCTAAATTGTCTTTTTTAGCCACATCATAACACTTTTGCTATCCTAATTCATATTTTGTTTGATATATTTTAGTATACTTTGATATTACATTTTATATCAAAACTTTTTTATGAAACAGAACTTAGAATAAAATCAGGGGTTTTCAGGCCAAAGTTGTTTGGAAGATGTGCAGTTCAAAGGATAATTCAATCATGTGACTAAATGATCATGGGATTCAGTATAATATTTAGTAGCATTATAGCTATTGAAAAATCCTCACATCTAGTTCATCTCTCTAGTAATAAGAAGTTCAGTCTGTTTATTTATTTTTTAAATCGAATAAAGCAATTACACGGAGAAGATATATGACCCATAAAATTTTTTGGCTTAATAGTCATGCTTAAAAATGATCAAATAGCCAAAGCCAAACAATATAATGAATCTTAATTGTTTTATCATATATGTTGCAGTACCACAGTAATAAAACAACAATAATTTTGGATGTAGCATGTTATCAGAAGACCAAGTATTCATACTGAAAATTGATAATAGTTGGATGGACCAACTGCCCTTAATACCCAGAAGTAATGTGTTTAGAGCAGCTGAAATTTTAATGTTTTCCTACAAATAACATTACAGAGTGACAAGAAGAGAACCCATTGTCCACCTTAAAATGTATTACTTATATCTACCAATTGCTCTAATTATTTTTAAAAAAAAACCTGATATCAATTGTTAAACTCTGAAATCTCTCTCAAAAACAAAAAAATCTGTAGCCAACATAAAACACTGATAAAGAAATATTATATGCATGAGTATTGATACAATTGACTGTGATGTTTATACACTTTATACCAATTTACGGTTCCAAATTACAATGCTTATCCTTTCTTTCACACATTTACATGTATATTGTTATGTAGTAGCCTATTTTACTAATAAATAACTACTGCTGATGGGATATGTCCTGCATTGACCAACACACTCTAAATCTACTGGACTTTATTAGTGAACAAATAAAAAAATACTACTTTTTTTATACCACTCAGTAATCGATAAATCATGCCACCAGTAAAGATAAGTTAAAAGAGGAGCCCAGAAAAGGATCCAGGAGGCGAAGCCTGTGTTTACAGCTGTTGAGGCTAAGGAATGTGCTCCAGATTTAAAAACACCCTAAAACTTGGAACGATGTTATGGACCTGGTGTTTTACAACTTAAATAGAAAACGTTGCGATAGATTTTAAGGCACCAACAATATACCCAACGACCAAAACCAAACAATACACTTTGTTGTGATATATGGCAGGATTTGTCAGCTTACGGCTGACACTGGCTGTGGCTACCCGGCTAACGTTAGCTAAGTTAACTCGATAGCATTTGCTATTACAACAGGTCGAAAATAATCCAAACAAAAGAGATAATCTGTATTTAAATAACACTAACTCGGTGATTTTATAATACGACATTCTCAATTTGAAAATAATTTATAAAAGCACGCTTTTGAAATGACCCATTTCAACACTCCTGATTAGCTTTCGCTAGCAAGTAGGCTAAGTCTGCTAGCACGGGTTGTCCAAGCCCTGCGTTAGAGTCGGCTTTCCTAATCTACCATTACGCCAAACAAGTGGTGAAATAGTTACTGCAGTTCAAGTATCACAACTCTGAACAATAAAATGGCACTTTATCTCGAACAAAAAAAACAACAAAAGTTTGTAAGAAAATAAGGTTTAAAAAAGTGTTATTACCTGCCATCTTGAGTATCGGCTCGGCTCTGCGGGCTGCCTATCTGCCTTCTAATGCGCTTCCGACGACAGGGGTGCTTTTCATGGCAGGGGTGCCTTTTTCGATACAACACCGTCCGCCGTCCCGTTATGGGCTGTCACTCAAACACGGCAACAAACTACTTCCTGAAAGTACTTCCCAGCGCTGCCATTTGCCTACCAATTATGTTTTAAAAAACTACTGTTACTGTTGTTTTGCAGCTTTGGTACAAACTCGACATAACTGAGCAAAAACTGAGCTTTTCTTTGTGCGCCTTCAAACAACAAAAAAAAAAAGAGAGGCTATACAGTCACGTGACTCTGTGCGGTAGTTCAAGATGGAGCCTGCGCGATTCAGCGGCTTCGCAGTTAGCGAGCTAGCTAGGTTCACTAATGACAATATTTAATGAAATATGAAGGCCTTCGAGACGTTTTGATGCGTACAGTGGGATTTTTTTTGCCTAAATCGGGATGTCCATTTACAGCTTTTGGTTACTATGAAGCTATAGTGTTTGCAAACAGAGGCCACCTGAAGAATATTCAGATAAGAGAGAAGAGGAGAAAATAGTACATCATCTCAATCTAATCTCGCTTTAAGATACAACGACATGGCACTGAGAGAGCTGAAAGTTTGTCTCCTTGGGGTAAGTCACGGTGTCGATTTGTTTATTGATGAGATATATGCATTTGTGATGTTGCAGATCTGTACGTACGTTTGTAATAAAAACCACAGTCCATATGATCTGATGTCAAGGTTTTGCAGGTACACGTTAAACATAATTTTAGGTAATTAATCGTCTTGTATACGATTCAATTTGTCATAAGTACTGTTCTTATATGCACCTTGAACCATCAACCAGCCTGTCTACCTAATTAATAGGTCAATGAGATATAATGAGAATATCAGAAAAAAGAACCAGGACAGTCAACCAGCTAAAAGTATCTTATCAGTAAAGACGGAAATAATTTGTTAGTAGCTTAAAAGCAACTGACTGCCTAAGGAAATAATGTGAACTCACGGTTCCTGTTTAATTCTGTGTGATGTTGTAGTCAAGAAGAAAATGCAACAAAATAGCTTTTGTTCCTGCTTAATACAAACTCTCTTTGTTTTGTTTCTTCAGGATACTGGAGTTGGAAAATCAAGTATTGTTTGTAGATTTGTGGAGGACAGTTTTGACCCAAATATCAACCCAACTATTGGGTAAGTTTTCCCTGTGGCTCTCATATACTGTCACATTTTTGGTGGCTTTGGGAGAATGCTTTCTTAAATGGTTGGTATTGATTTCAGTAAAGCTGAAAAGAAGCATTTTGTTGACAAGAAATTGGGCTCTCTTACTGCCAAACATCTTTACGGCAATATTCAAGTTTTGTTTCTTATTAAAGGCAAACTAGGTATACTGGGTTTTTTTTTAAAATAGAATGTTGACATGTAATTACGAAAATAACTTAATAAGAATATGAATAAAAAATACCCCAAAAGTATTATCCATCCATCTACTGTGTTTATAGTTACAACAACTTTTGATTTTCATTCGGCATCAATAGAGTATTTTTTAATTTATTTCAGATCAGGACATAAAACTCATAGCCTGAAAGGAGAATCCAGATGTTCCTCTTCCCAGCGTCACTTTTCATGTCATTTTGTAGGATTTCAAGGTGTTCCTGGGTCAGAAAGAAATTATAGTTCCTCTAGTGTTTTCGTGTGTCCACCCAGTTGAATGGGCTTGGAAAACCTCAAAAAGGCGTCCTGGCGGGATGCCTGAAACACTTGAGCTCACTCGTTTTGATGCAGACGACCAGCATCATCCCACTTGGATGGGATGACACATCTCTGACCCACCCTCGAGTCTGAGCCTGACTTCTCTCCAGACACAGCTGATTTCAGCCATTTGAGTGCCACGTCTTGCTCTGTCATTCATGAATCACATGTCATACCGTAAGTTAGGGCTGGAATGTAGATAGACCAGAATATTGAGACATTTGGTTTTCGACTCTGCTCGTTCTTTATCACAACAGACCGAAGCAATGTCCTCGCTAAGGGCAGCTATCCAACGTCATTATTCATAAAACAAAAGGAGCATTCCATCTTTCCTTTGGTTAAAAAAAAATAATGGCCTCCAACTTAGAGCTGGCTTTAATTCCAGCTACTTAGCAGTCAACTTCCTGTTGAAGATCATGGCTTGAAAATGCAAACACACATGCCAACCAAATAATTGGTGAAGAACAGCCTCCTCTTTACTTCTACACAGTGAGACTATAAACGGAATCTGGAATCTCCAATCCACACTGCGAACAAGATTGAATTTGTGCCAAGAATCCCAAGGTTTTTTTGTTGTGCATACCCTACTCTTTGTGAAATTTTAAGCAGGATCGGGGGTGATCGGCGATAAATAATGACAAGACTCTGTTCTGCTAGAATAAATGTGTCCTTTTATTCCGCCACAGATTACAGCAAGTTTATTCACACAACAAACAATACGCAAAGCTTAGATTCTTTCAATCCGCTCTTACCGTGACACAGTGAACCGGAGAGTCGACAGTTCAGGGAAGAGTTGCAGCAACACGTAATTGGGCGTCCGTACGAAACCCACAGCAGAGACTCTACTCTTGACTCTACTGAACAATGGGACTTTTCTGCTTTTTATACTCATTACCAAAACAACCTCGAATGAAAGAAGGGAATGGCCATTTCCCCTCTCCCAGACGGGTTAGCCAATCAGAATGCTACTTCTCTGCCCACGACTTGACCATGAGCAATTGATCATGATCAATTAGCACACAATACTCAATCTCCTGTTGTCTGTGACCAATTAGCACACAATACTCAGTCTTCTGTTGTCCATGGGCTCCAGAGGTGACGACCATGAGCTCATTCCATGATTCAATCAACATACAGCACTCAAAAATGTATAAAATGAGCATAAAACATACAATTTATCAAAGAACATAGAAAATTCTTATATCACCTATAAAGTCCAACTCTATAATATTCTCCATCTACTAATTATAATTATAGAGTTATAATAATTAAGAGATCAATTCTTCTTATGTTTCTAAACATTTTCTGAAAATAACAGCACTACTAATACATTTGAAAAGTCCCTAAAAGTTTTAAATGCAGGTAAAATAAATGTAATATGATCAACCTAGAAAATAAAAAAGTAATAAGAAATTAAAGTGCGATGTTAAAATATAATTTTATGACTTGCATATTGATCAGAAATTAAGTAAAAATATTTTAAGTGGGTATAATTAAAAAGTAATTAACAGTTATCAAACATTTACTGACTTTATTTTCTGGAGCCTCAAAAATAAAACCATCAAACATTTTCAAATTTAATAATCATCTGCTCACTGTTTCCAACAGCGCATCATTCATGACCAAGACAGTGCAATACCAAAACGAGATGCATAAATTCCTAATCTGGGACACGGCAGGACAGGAGCGGGTAAGTATTTCTTAATTTAGTTACTCTGAAATTGAAGTATAACAACATTTCCATATTTTTCTAAAGCAAGTGAAATAATTATGTGGCTCTAATTCTGTGCGTGAGCCCCTGCAGTTTGCTAATTCTTCTGAAAGGGGGCAACATTTTCCTTCCTGCAGAAGAAGGTCTGGAATATATTTTCTGTGGTATGTTTTTTTTAAATCGGAGAGGGATATTTGTTTTGTTTGAAAGCCAAATACAAATCTACGATATTTTGTATTTTGATGCTTCTGATACGTGTTTGTCTCAAAATGATGTCACCCTTGACGCAAACTTGACTTTTGTTCGTATATAAATGCATTTCTTTTCTTAAAATATCTTCTCGGAGTTGATAGAAGACATCCATATAGAACAAAAGCGAATCCACCAGCCCGGTGACAGTTTTTCTGAAAGGAGCAGCTTTCTCCTTTGACTCACTGTCTAACTCCTGTCTCTATGTGCCTCAGATATCCAACATCACTTCCCTTTTTTCCTCTGAACTTCCCTGTCTCAAGCTCAACCTTCTGCTATTGTAATGTTTTGTCCCCTGCGTCAGCGCTCTCCACAGAGCTGAGATAAGATACAGCTTGTCTTTTATCCTCCTTTCCTCTGGAGGATTCCTTTTCCTTTTGCTCTTCAGGGGACATTCGTGCAGACCTATTTAAGATAAGACAGGAGAATGAACTCAGCGTCTCAGCCCTGTGGCGTGTGCTGCTGTTTCTGGTCTATCTTATCTGACGCTTTCTGCCACTCTACATCAGACTGTTTTTCCCTTTTTTCCTTTTTAATTAGGGCTGCAAATAACAATTTTTTGAGTAAGTGAATATTCTATTGCTAATTCTGATGATTAATTGAATAACTAGATAAAAAAATTGCTGCATTCTGCAGATTTTTACACAATAGTAAAAATACATAAGCAAGTAAATCAATCATTTTTTGAATAAGAAAATAAAGATTTTCTTGCATAGCATCCCTCTAGTGCATATACAGTTTGTATAGCAAAGGATGTTTCTGCCCCATTTCTTATGCACCATTATTTCAACCTCTTGATCCCTTAATAAGACTGTATCTATAAATGTAAAAGAGTAAAATGCACCATGTGTTCCTCTGTTTCTACAAAGCGGCTGTGGTATCTAAAGGTCTTGTTTAATGATCTCTTTGAAGCTTTGGCCTGTCAAAATCTGGCAAATTGCAAGAAAGGAATACAAAACCAGCTGAAACATAAGTACAGGAAGGGAACTCTCTGAGATTCCCTAAGTTCAGCATTCGTATCTTAAAATCAGATCAGGCATCAAGCGACAACTGATCCCAACTGTAACCCACCAAGCTTCCCCCTCTGACTGCCCTGTTGCTCAGAAATCAAACGAAGTGAAGCCTCACATCCACTTGGAAAAAGAAAGTCCCTTTCGTACACCCAGCTTGTGGTTTCAGCTATTAATCAGCTCTGCCAGGGTATCACTGTAGTTGTTTTTTTTGCTTCTGTGTGGCCAGACGTCTGGCCTCGGTGTGATTGCTCTTTGGGTTCAGGCGGCGATCGACCACACAGGTCTTGCTATGGCGAAGCCCCAACACTCGCCAGTGAATCAGACAGAGCTCTCCTCAGTGCCTCTGCCAAAAAATCCCAAGCTGGATTCCTGCTGCTAGACTTTAGGCCAGTAACAACTGTAATTATGGGGAATGTGTGCTTTTCTGAGGTAACATTGTCACTCCAAGACGAATGGTTTGTTTTGTTCTATTGTGAAGGAAAACCGAATTGCCGTACTTGCTGGGTCACCCAGGATTTTGAGTTTCTGGGTCATTGCTTTCCAAATAAATATCATTTGGTGATGTGTGTCACTTGAATTTATCAGCTGTAGAGTTGAAACCAGAAGTTTACATACACAGGATAAAAAGATATGAGTTTTTTTTAAATATCTGAAGGAAAATAAGACCAAACTTCACTTGTTTTAGGTCAGTTAGAATTGCTAAATGTCAGAATAATGAGAAAATATGTTAGAGATTCATTTATTAATGTCATCATACATATGTTTAAGTACTTGATTGCATTGCGTTTTAGCTGTTTAACTTGGATCATGCTGTTAGGGTCTCCTTTCCCACGTCTCTCACAATAGTTTGAAGAAGTTCTGGTCTGCTTCTCCTGACAGAACTGGTGGAAATGAGTCAGGTTTGTAGTTTAGTTATTGATGCCAATATGCTGAAAATGAACAAATTCACAAGATCAGAAAAAAAAGTCATTGTTTTGCTGGATGCTTCAACAGCAAAAAAGACACTTGAAAGAACTCATCTTACTGTACTAAAAGTTTTCTTTCAAGTAACAGTAGTTTAATGCTGAAAGTAGATGATATCGACCAACAATATGTGAGAAACTATAAACAAATCAGTGTTTTATTTCAGTAGCCTAATCTCACACATGCAACAGAAAAATAGGAATTTCCTTCAAGGAAATCTAAACACTACTGCACGGGCTTATTAATGAGGTCAGAGCTGACCTGGGGAGAGTTTTATCTTTAAACACCAGAACCCAGTAAATCAGTGTTTACAGATTCTGCACAGGCCGTTCTGAACAAGGAGTTTCCCATGATGCTTTTGGTTTAGATCAAATGTGTGATCATTCATAAATGTCTACTTGTTAGCATCTTTTGACACTTTCTGTTCCTTTTCCCCTTAATAACATCTGACTGTGTAAGGAGAAAGGACTTGCACTGCTTGATTTTTAAAAACGCACCTTTTTTGTGTCGATCAGTTTTATTTCTCTTGCTTCAGTCCAGCTTAGTGATGTCATTTCTGCGTCAAAGTCTATGAAAAACCACAATCTGTAGGAGGTAATCGTGTAAAACTGTGCAGTTATACTGAGCTGATATATTTAGCATTCATATATCGCAAAGCGAATGACTGAAAGGAAATGAAGGTCTTCATTGATGTGTCAGCGTCGATTGTTTGTAATAGGATTATTTACAGTCGCATTCTTCATTCTAAATCCTTCTCTCATTTCATTCGATTTGAAGCTATTTTGAGGATTGATGATGTCTGAATATAAAAATGGTTTAAGCAGAGATTATAGTCACTGTACAGTTTAGACTCATCATTTATCTTGCTTCCTTTTCAAAGGTCCACACACTATTGTTTATTTAATTTTTTTAAACGTTTCTCAATCTTCCCATAGTTTCGTGCTCTGGCGCCAATGTACTACAGAGGTTCAGCGGCGGCCATCATTGTCTATGACATCACAAAAGAGGTGATTTTAACTTTTCTTTTTTCAACTGAGTAGCTTTTTACATTCATTGCATTTGTGCAAAAAGAAATAAAAGTTCTTTAACAGAACAAAATCTTGCAAACGATAACATTTTAACTTATGCATTTTGTCATGAGAGTGGCACCAATCTGGTTCTTGTTCATAGAAGATAGTCCTTCAGTTTTGCTGTTGTCAGTGGAGATTGAACTTTCTGCGCCTCCCCATGGATTCTTTCATTTATAATATATTTTTGTTCTCATCAGGATTCCTTCCAAACTCTGAAGAACTGGGTGAAAGAGCTTCGCCAGCATGGACCTCCTAATATAGTGGTCGCCATTGCTGGCAACAAATGTGACCTGTTAGACTCCAGGTGAACTTTTGCTTGATCTTGTAGATATTTTGAAGTTATCTGGTGGTTATTACTCCCAATTCACAGCAATAAAAACAGGGAGGCAATCAAATTTCAGAAAACACTTGATTTTTCCTTCTAAATGATGCAAAAGGATTTTGTTAATTTATTTCACTGTTATCTTCTGAACATTGATAAACACTCTCCCTTCTCCATTTGTTAAATTGTGAAATCATCTGTGTGTTATCAGAAAAAAAAGAAGTGATGGTTAGTGAGAGAATTGGTTTACAGGTTGCTAAACATTGTTTGTAATATATCTCGTATGTTTACAGAGAAGTGCCAGAAAAAGATGCCAAGGACTATGCTGATTCCATCCATGCAATCTTTGTGGAAACCAGCGCCAAGAATGCCATAAACATCAACGAGGTGTTTGTAGAGATAAGTGAGTTTCTGCTCTTCACCTCAGCATAACTCTTCATATAATTATTATTTTCTGTATCTAAAAGCAGATACCTTTTTGAATAATTTAAGATTTTTTATCACGAAATGTTTCAAGAGTTTTAAGTCGGTGTAAATAAGTCAACAAGTAAAACAAAAGTGAAATATTTTCTTTTTGGTCCGTTAAAAAAATATTCCCATTTAAATTATATTTAAATTTTATCCATTTCATTTGGATTTTACATGATAGACAAACACAATGTATCACATAATTGCAAAGTGGAAGGAAAGCAATTTATGGTTTAAATTTTTTCTTCAAATAAATCTAATAAGTGTGGTGTGTATTTGTATTTAGGTTTTCTTAGTTCTTCTTAACTTAATTAGTTAGTACTCAGATGAATGCATGGATAATCTTTTTCTTTGCTGTGTGTGTTATCAGAGCAGCATCTGATGATAAACATCCTCATGGCATGATGCTGTCACCATCTTGTTTCGCAGTTCGGTTGTGTATTCAGGATGGTTTGCAGTGGTGGTTTTACTCCAGACATAGTATTTTACATGCAAGCTAAAAATTTACATTTCAGTCTCATTTTACTAGAGCACCATTTGCCTGCACGTTAAGGTGCACAGTCATATTTGTTTGAAGAGTGCTCTCTCTTCGAAGCCATCTGGGATACTTTTGGGAAACCTATTCTGTCTGCTGTGTTGGTGCCTTCACAGAACAGTTGGATTTATACTGAGATTAAACTAAACACTGTTTAAATAACTCAACTAAGTGAAGGGATTTTGATGTCAGATTTTTGCACAGCAAAAGTAGCTAAATATAAAATTCACAAAAATGTACTTTCTTCCACTTTGTAATTCTGTGCTCTGATTGCTTATGACATAAAATCTCTCAGAAAATGTGAAAGCTCATATCAACGTGCCTGTGTGTTTCCTTGCAGGTAAGAGGATCCCTGTTGCTGACAGTGCAGCAGCAACATCAGGCAAAAGTTTCAAATTGGGACGGCAGGTCTCAGAGTCTCGAAGGACATGCTGCTGATAATTTTGGTGGCTGAACTCAACGTGACCTAAGAACTAAGCGTTACCTGCCCCACTATTCTCCTGGTTTGCTTCAACTTAAAGACACAACACAATGTAAAATGTTTTTTTAAAAACCCCAACAAACACTCATATCTGGTCACTGCAGCATGACTCGGACAACAGCAGCCAAGACCTTTTTTTTCTAAACATCATGATTCATATTAAAAATGATTGAGGAAGAACTTTTCAGGTTTTTAACCAAACATTCATACCTTAATGGTGATATGTGAAACTTTTCAGTGTTCTCCATGGGAGTCATTTATACTTGTACACTTGTACATTTGTAAAAAACAAACAAAAAAACAACAATATTTTCTGTCAGCAAAAACTAATAATGATGCATTGAAGTAATTTTCAGTTATTTTTAAAAGTTCTAAGTTATTTTTTTTAGATAAAAAGATTATCTTAGCTTCATGAAGGATCTCCTCTTTGAAGTTTATATGTAATTTATTTATATGCTCCTTTTATTGCCTGTTTTTTTATTTGTTCCAGACAAAGCAACCCTGCTCCCCAAACCCACCACACGTGCTCTAGATGCAAACAATAATGCAGAAATGAAAGATGTGTGGGAGCCTACTTCCTTTACACCGAGGGAATACTTCAACATTTTCGTTGAAATGTGATGGGACACTTTGGTAAATGTCCCATCACTTGATTAAGTTTAATAAGTCTCAGTTATTTTATGTACCTTGTCCAGAATGTGGACTAAAATTAGAGTTAGTTATTGGGACAGAAACAGGCTAACCTGCGTTAAAAATGTCTAAAGTCTGTGAGCATGCCTGTTAGAAGTCCTTATTTAAAATTGCTGTTATTCTTCTCTGTTTGGCTTTGAAGGAATAGTCTCTTTGGCACTTGTAAGGTTCCTGGGAATAATACGTTATTACTGTAATTTAACCTCTTTGATCAGAAGAACCTCACAAGCAGCAGCTCTGTGTTTAATCAGAGCTTTAAACAGTGGCTAATTATTCTGTGTTAACGCCGCCATCTCCTGCCATCTGTTCTGCATTTCCTCATTATAGTCACAGAAGACGCCCTCCGCTTCACATGTCCTTCACATGTTCATCCTTCTTTTACTCTCCAAACTGTTTAATGGGGAAAGCAGTTTTTTTCACTGATTCTTTAATTGTCCAATAAAGATGTTTTCATCCTTCCTTTTTTTCCCTAATCAGCACTGCCTTGCATGTCCAAGTGCTGTTTTACTACTTGGCTTATGATGAAAATACTGAGATCTGGAAATGAGGCCTCGTTTAAAGTAAACTTATTTTAGAGCTCTGAGAAAGCTTCATCAGATGTAGTTTTGTGTTAACAATATTGACCCCTCACTGAACTTTGAACTGTATTTCACTCTAAATGACTGTGAGCTTGGATTGTCTTTTTTTGTTTTGTTTATTGTGCCTCGTTCTTCACCAGGGCCTTAATTCTTGCTTTAATTGTTGTACACAATCTGAGTTTTGGAGCCGTTTCTTGTCCTTTCCATGAATTTAATTCTGCATTGCGTTGCAGTGGAAGAGTAATTTACCCTTTCTTCTAACATGAACTGGACTTTTTGTCTTTGTATGTCCACAATTAGCTTTTTAGATCCAGTTGAAAATGCAACTGAAAGAGAACAAATGTTGGAATATTGAGACAGAAGCTCAAACTGCGTTTTTTCCTTTACAATCAGTGTAAACCCCTCTTTCCCTTTCTCTACGAGTTTAGGTAGATGTTGTATTATGGTGTTTGGTCAATGTTTTGCTCAGACATACAACAGCCTTTGCTCTTTATGACACTCCTGCTGAAGAAGGAATAATGCTAATTTTTGTTGCCTTTTGTTTTAAACTCTGACTCATACTTAATTGGCAGGTTTAAATCAGAAATCATTTTTGTTCTAGCTATTTTCTAACTTGTGAAGACCTGAGAACCTGAAAAAGCATTTCAGGTTGTTTTGATTGTCCAAATCACAACTTTGGCAAATGTAGAGAAGAGGGACAGCACTTTAGTAGTATAAACGCTGCACTTTGGTAAATGTCCCATCACTTGATGAAGTTTGATAAGTCCCAACTATTATATGTACCTTGATTTTTATTTCTTACTTTTAAGATTTTGGTGCCAAAGCCATCTTAGCACATTTACCCATCTTGACTGTTGATGTGATATGATATACAGTTTCCTTATAACCCATATCGTTTTTCTGATTATTTCAACGGCGCAACATTAATAATGCACCATTTTAGATTTTGTGGTTAAAATTAACAAAAAGTCTTGGGCTGGCCCTAGGAATCAGATCAGTCTCTAACATGTTCATTTTACAGTGTAGATATCTGCCATCAGATTGCACACAATCCTTACTCTTTATTTCCCGTTGTTTGTGCAAACACAATATCTCTGTACACCACATTGAGTACATATATCAGCAGTGTAGCTACTATATTTAGCTTTTTATTTTTTCATATTGATTGTCGCAAAATGCCTAAGAAGACTTGTTTGCAGTGTAAGGCCAAATATGTGAAAAGGGATTTTTTTTTTTTACTAATAAAACTGATTAAAAAAGAGAGAATGAGTATGTTCTTTTTTAAGTGTAGTTGTTCAAAGTCAACAGAAATGTCTTATTAGCCTTTGGAATACAGTAAGAATGTTATCAGCGGTTTATTGTGTTGAGTTTTCTGCCAGCTGCCTGGCTATATATATAGTGTATAATGTTACACTTGAGATGCGTGTTAAAGTAGCAGAAGGCTTTCAACACACTTTAAGTCATGGGGAAAAGTCAAAGCAATTACAGTGCTCTCCCCTTATTAACACACATAATAAAAATGTCAATAAACCTTTTAAATAAATTATTTACAGCAATAGCACAACTTCACACCAACAGATGCATATTCTGCTGTCTTTCACCACTAAGCTCAATCACTATCCTCCTTCCTGTGCTACAGGTGGGAAAATAAACTTGGATCTGGCTCTAGACAATTGCAGACAATTTTTTAGTCATTATGATGTTGAACCATTGCAACAAGCAACAAGGTATTGCTTCTTTTTTTTTCCCACAATTGGAACTGATTAATATTACAACAGCTCAAATAATACCTGAACTTTGACCCCAAATCCCAGAAGAACTGAAAAGGCGTCTCCAGGGTATGAGAGAGAAGAAGGAAGTTCAAACCATCTCTTTAACGGATCATATTCCTGATTTTTTCGTCTCTCTCCCTGACTTTCAGACAAATGAGCTGCAAAAGCAAGTGAGGTGGATTAGATTTTGAATTGCGTGCAATCAAAATGCCACATTGTCTTGTCTTTCCCTTTTTGAAGAGTGGCTGGGAGATATAGACTCTTGTAACTTGTCATATTTTTTTGCCCCAGTGAAATAGAAAGTAACGTTCTTTATATGTTCTCTTTCACTGCAGTGGCGGAGCCAGAGGGGTGGCCGGGGTGGCACTTGCCACCCCCAACAGAGCCCTTGCCACCCCTACTGCCACCCCACTGGAAATGGTAATTTTAAAATATAATACTTATGAGATCGGCAAAGATTTGCCAGGACAAATGTAATTTCCGACTGTCCCTAAAGGCAGCCCGATGCCCGACGCTGTTGATTGGTTAAACTGACATGTGGGTCCTGCTTGATCCAAAACACATCCGCGGCTTTAGAGTTACACTGTCAAGGAGTTTTGCAGGTATTTACATTTTACCGCTCAGCAGTAACCGCTGTTACCTTCCTAACGAGAGGCGGCACTTGTCATACATTTCTAAAAAGAAAAAAATGGTTGTGCACCGCTGCGTAGTGCCTCGTTTATAATATTAGCCATGTTAGTGCTGATATATCGTGTTTTAGACAGATTCTTTTAACATATGTTTTAGTGCACATGCTGCCCTGTGATGTTTTATATCTCCCAGCTCTTGCTTGAAATGTGTGGTAAGAATATGTGAAAAACCATAAAGTTTTATAATGACTGAAATGTAAGTATGCTATGTCATATGAAAGCTTTGAATTATAACCTAACTAGTTATATTAATTAATTTTGAACGAAAGGAAACAAATATTTTTTCCTTTCGTTCCATGGAACGGTCCATTTGTATATGGACCCCTCTGATAAAGCCTTGCTCACCCTTTGGCCACCCCTTGAAAAAAAGTCTAGCGCCGCCACTGCTTCACTGCACAAACACAAATATTACCCAGTATTTTATGCAGATTCTAGTGGACATGTCTTGTTACACTTGAAATAAGAAAAAACACAGAAGTGACTATTCAGCAAGATATAGGAGCTTATTTTAAGTAATTAATTCTTGAATATTGATTACAAAAAATCAGGTCTACTGACAGATTTTTTTCACTTATAATATCGGAAAAAATTCTTGCTATAAATGAAAAATTCTACCAGTAGTACAGGTACTTTTATAAATATTCAAGAATTATTGACTTAAAACAAGCTTCAATATCTTGCTGAAAAGTTACTTGTAAGTTTGTTGTGTCTTGTTCTGAGTGAAATAATATGCTTGCACCAGAAGGTAAACAAAAGTATTTGGAAAGATTTTGTACTTTTTCAGTGTTGAGAGGCAGAAGTGTCACAATTTAATAAAAGAATTAGAAAATTATGATGATGAAGTGATATGGTGTTGAATAAGCTCATGGTTTGTTGTGTATTTTTCTGTATATTTAAAATATGTTTGTGGTATTTTTCTGAGCTGAATAGCTAATTTATTTTTATGTGAATAGAGGGCAGATATAAGTTTAATTTTTTTCTCTGCTCTTTTAGTTGCCACATTAACTATATTTACTTTTAAGTAAATGAAATAAATAGAAAAATGAATGGAAATATTTCATGTGCTACACTTCACAGTGCAATTATTCTTCCTGTAATTGTGATTAAATAAAGATGCATGCTTTTTATTATTTGCATGCTATGCATTCCATATTTTTCTTAAGTTGAAAATATTCAGTGATTTATTAATATGCTGAGTTGAAGAAAGAAGCTGCATCAGCACACTACAGAGTCTGTTTCAGCGCTGAGGGTGACGGGATGTAAACAGGTGCTTCATTCTGAAGCTGGAACCTGCACCTATCTGTTTGTTGGGTTCAGTTTTCCTGAAGCCCCCAGCAGGGTGAGGGAGCCCCCGCCAGGCTTGGGTCCTCCCCAGCCCGGCATCACCCCTCCCCAGCCGGGCGGCTCTGCAGAGGCAGTGACGTCACGAGGCTGACTCCCTTCCTGCTGCATCACAGCAGCCTTTAGCAGCTCTGGTAGGACTTGTGACCGCGGGGGCCGGAATATACACCGCTCGTTCACAGAAAACAGCAACCTTTAGCAGGTTTAACAACATAGTAACACGGAGGGCTCGGTGTCAGGAAGTGGTTGCAGTGCGATAACCCCGCTCCAGTTGTTGGGATATGGCCAGGCCGGAACAGGTTCTGCTCTTGGAGCCTCAGCACGAACTGAAATTCAGAGGTAAGAGGGGAGGGCCCCGGTTGTGGACGAGAGAAGGGGAGGGGGAGCTTCCTCTGCCAGCATGAAAATGGGGGGAAGTCCAGTGGAGGAATAATCAAAACGGAGAGAGGCTGCAGAGCAGTTGTATTTCTACAGCATTGCTTTGTAGAGACCCAAGGCTTTTCTGAAAGGACTCATGCTAGGTGATCTGCTAGCTGGATTAGCTTTCGACGGTGAAGTTAGCTGGGCCTTGTGGCTCATTTTTCCTGCAGCAATTATATTTAAGAGTTCATACATGAAACGCACACCTGTTAGCTTACAGAAGGTATTGTGAATCTCTTGTGCATAACAAGGCTTTGTGAAATAGTAAAAATGCCATACTCCACAGCTAAATCACCTCTAGCAATGATAGCTTAGTAGCATTAGCCTGCTCTCTGATTGGCCAGCCAGCTGTCATCTAATGACTTGACAGCACACAGGACGGGGATGCAGGGCAGCTTCTGCTGTTTAACATCATCACGGTGCCGTCAACCTTCACTGTTGAGGCTTCAGCAACAGTAGCAAACATCCGAGCTACGCTTGGTATTCGGTTTAGAGATATCACGCTGCTTCAGGCCCAAATAATGTTACATAAACTCTCATTGTACTCTAGCATGTTGCAGCAGATTGAAACGCTCTGCCACGGATCCAAATGTTAAACTTTGGCTCTTGAAATGCACAAAAGAGATACGGTTGATTTCTCAAGAAAATAAACGCCTCAGACAATGATAGATATTTATAAGAGACACAGAAAAAATAAATAAATTAGAATAGTTGTAATATAATGTAATTGTGAAGTATTTGCTTGAATGGGTTCAATGAATGATTCAAATGTATTAATTAGGGATTGTTTTAGTTAGCATGAAAAATGCAAAAAGTTGAAATTGTAATGTGTTCAAAAGAAACAAAGTCTAATCACCTCCTATGCAATTTAATACTCAGTCTTCAGTTAAATGAATTAAAATATCAGTGAAATTGTTTCATTATTGCAACATTTGTCTTTTTGCACTAGCAATTATTGTAATTTTGTTGAGGACACATTTAATGCACATCTTATTTTATCGACTACACAAAGGAATGTAATATATTTTCAATGTGCAGGTGGTTAGGATTTCAGAATGTAATGTTTAATGCAAAGATTTACAGATGATCATCATTCTTGATCAGCAGTAATGACTCCAAACAAAGGAGACAATGGAGAATTTTAAAATGAAAACGTGACTAACAGGCATTAAGTCTTATTAATGATATTCTTGGTATATCAGCTTTTAAGTCTGTAATGCATTTGGTCAAAATTGTTTTAAATAACATGCATGAAGAAAAAATGTGTTTAATCATTTCACTTTCCTGAGATGTTATCACTTGAGCCAGGTCAGGGTAACCAAAGAAGAGGTGAAACATGATGTCATGTCGTGGAATAAAATAGTCAGTCTATCTTCTTTATTCTTTTGACAGTCTCTCCTCTTAGTCTCAGGTCAGCTTATTTTCTCAACCTGGGTGTGAGTATAAAAAATATCCTGATTTTATTTATTGAAATAAGCCCAGGTTTTGACTTTTGCACAACTTTTACACTATAAATATCTAACACACCATCATAGTTTTGACTCGAATCAACGTCTCACATAGTTTACTGATTAGACACTGTTGTACATGTATACAGTGTTGTACAAAAACTGTAAAGCGTTAATCATAACCTTTTTTGTGGTTTAGTTAGTCACAATCATAATTTAAAGTGCCACTGTTTTTGTTTGCATCAGCTTGCAAGGTATTTTATTATTTTTTTTGTGCTTACAGCCTCCCAGATGTAATACCAGGTAGTGAAAACAGCAATCACTCCTACAAAGCTGATTTTTATTTCTTTTTGCAGTTTTAATAGTTTTTTTATAACTGTGGGCACCAATATAATCCTATAAGTCTTAAAACCTTTGCACATGATTTTGCTGTTTTTTCTTTTCTTTTTTTTAACCTAATTGTGTTAATCTATGGTTTTGTACAAGACAGAACGATTTCAGTCTTTGCACATGAGGTAATAACCACAAATCACATGCTCATAATTAATCCCTAAGTAGTTCTGTAGGCACACAGTGTGAAAACCCCGTAAATGAAGTTTAGACCGTTTAGCTTTGTGCAAGACCTCTTGGTTAAAAATCTTAAATAATTAAGAAATGACATTTCTCACCTTTGAACAGTTTTATTTTCAGCACAAATATTAATAACACAATACTTGACTGTAAGATGTATTGTGTTTTCTTAAATATAATCTTTTCATATTAGTCTTCAGCTTTTATGTACGATTTTCATAAATTGGATTTGACCCAAAGCTACTTCCAGGAAGAAGTAGATCAGATCTTGCAGTAGTTTGGATTGTTCCATTAAAGTTTATTTTTAGATGTCAAATCAATATTATGAAGGTTTGAATTGACCTTTTGTCTTTGCTCAGAAAAGAAGAGAAGTATTGGTAGCTAACGACGTTCACTGATCTGAAACTATCTTAAATCTGGTATATGTCCATGTTTTTATCAGTAAATGTTTGCTTTACTCAGTTTCAAGTTTTATACTCAGATTAGCTGCTTCTATAGATTAAACATATTTGATTTGAGCATTAGGAGTAATTTATAATAGTTAAATATTAAAACCAAATAGTATTTTGTAAGCTGTAACATTTTTCACAACATAGAAGATCTGCAGGTAGGGATTACTGTTGATACAATGTATTAATTTTGTGCTAGATAAAAATAAATAAATAAGGAGTTTAATACAAATATGTATATTTTAACATAATTTTCTAGTAGTTAAACATTACATTTAAAAACAGTTAGCCTGTAAACTGTATGTATAATCTTGCTATTTCATCTCCTTTCAAGTTTTAATCAGATTTTTTTATTATTGTTGCTTAGTCAATTATGAATAGCCTTTTCCACTGTTATTCCAGGAGGGACTCATTTCAGTATGTTATTCTCTGCCAATGTAGAAAACATTTCAGCAAATCAATGCTATTTATGCAGAAGGTGAAAGAGACATTTATTATGCTGATAAGTATCCAAGGAGACGTTGTTTGTTTTTGCTTTGTATTGTATTAATTTCAATGCATCTTTTGTCCAGTCTAAACAAAATTGGACAAAAACATTTTTTTTATGGATTTAGTATGCCATGTTTCAGAATGAGAAAAACGAATCCTATTCACCCTAATGGAAATAATTTTGAATTATCATGATTATTAACTTAATATAACATAAAAACCTATTCCTGTTAACCACAGAACATTCAGCCTGAACAGAGTTGTTAGGACTAATTAACACAAAGTTGAAACTCGATAATGAAAAATATCTTTCTTTAAAGCACAGGGTTGCCTCAGACGAAGATCAGAATGTGTCCAACAACTGTATAACAATATTTTCATTCTCTTAATTATTTTAAAACTAATTTAGCACCCATTTAGAGCTAATTTTTTCATATAGCTAATCCATAGACAACCTAACACTTAGGGTAGTAATGTCCTTCATGGAAGTATTAATTTTGGATTCAGGTGGGCAAACCAGATCCAAAGTAAACAAGAACCTGGTTTGTACAAAAAGTGTAGTTTGTTTTGTAAACAAACTACACTTTTGTAGTTTGTTTACAAAATGTATTCAGTTTTGTTTCGGTTACTGGTTATATTTCATAATATTTTTTTGTTTTAATCAGCAGAGTATATCCCCCCAGCTGCTTTACTTGTCAGCTCCTATATGAGCTCAATATTTGTTAATGTTCACTTGTCACTGAACAGAGAAGTAATAGAAGGGGATTGACACTGCTATGCTGTTATCAGTGGCGTTATTTTTATGTCATCAACTATATTTTGACGTTTTGATACTCGTACAGGAGTTGCTGACAAATTATGACAGTTCATGATGCCCTTTAAATTTGACAAATAAGTTAGTCTTATTGTTTGCCATGTATCCCTTTCTGGTGCTATATTATTTTTATGCTGCCTCTGCTTTTATATAAGACAGGAAAAAATCAGAGTAATTCAACTTTGTTAACTTGAACTCTAAATACAATCTTATTTCTTTGTGAAGCATGCATTAATGTTTGTTTTGACATTCATACTGTTCCAACAGTATTGTATACTAAATTGAAAACATGCAATAGAAATTGTATATTTCTGTTTTATTTTAATTAAATTGATACCAGACTACTACTAATCCACATTTTTGCTTTGTTACAGTTATGAATTTTGTGTAAACGGATGAGGAAAAAGAGCTTGAAGGGCCTGAAAGATTTCTGTCAGCCCCACATTTATCAGGATGTAAACTGTAATTTGACTCAAATTTTATTTATTTATGAAATTTTCATTTGTGTTTGCAAGGCCCTATTAGGTTCTTGAGGGTTTCCAGTAAGAGTCATTTATTTCATCTTTAAATGAACAACACAAGGTCTTTAAAGTATTTCAGGCTTGAGTCAGCCATCTTGCATTATTTACACAATATGGGACCAGTATACAATCCAAATGTGATGAGTTTTCTGTGCCAAATGAAACTGCTGTTTGTCATAATTTTTTAGATTTCATTGCCCCCAGCTTTAATACTTCAAATTACATCCAATTTCAAATCTTTTGCAAATGACAGGAATTTCTGTCTTTTTTACATTTAGGTTTTAACTTTCAGGAAGTCTAGTTTTCTGTGATATTGACAAATCTGTGCAACCTAATGCAGCTGGACTTTGAGAGCCTTGTAAAGATGTGGGTTGCATCTGTAATGATGCCTGTGGTTAATTGAAGCCAAAGTGCTTTAGCTGTCCTGTTTTTAGGTTTTCCGATAAAAGAAGAACGTGATTTAGATTTATTTGTCCTGGATTACAGATACTTTTCAGTCCAGTTGATTAAAACATGAATTTGTTTGAAATAGTTTTTGTTATTTGATTGTTTTTCTTGTTGCTGGTGTTTCCCCTGAAGCAGTAAATGATGGATGTATACTTTGATGAATCTTGATCATGTGCTTTGACTCATTTTTTATTTATTTTTTACTGTGTAGCTTAAAGACGTTACAAACTTTTTGAGTTTGCGTGCCAGTTACAGTTTTTTTCTCCATCTGTCTTCTTTGATTTGTCTTGCTTTTCTAGCATTTGGCATTGCGGTAATCTGACCAAGGAATGGTAAAATCCCGTTTGTGTGGTCGCTCAGATCAAAACATCCCCAGCTATAAGATAAAGAGTCTTTCTGCAGGTTTAGTTTATGTGTTTCTTCCTGAAAATTATTTCTCTTTTCTTTTTTCTTTTATTTTTCTAACCGTTAAGATTACTTAAAGTTCATATTTTTACGGGTCTCTTCTGTTTACTTTTCTCTCAGGTCCGTTTTCAGACGTGGTCACCACAAATCTTAAGCTCTCCAACCCTACAGACAGGAATGTATGTTTTAAGGTCAAGACGACAGCGCCCCGCCGGTACTGTGTGCGGCCTAACAGCGGCATTATTGATGCAGGCACCTCAATCAATGTCTCTGGTAAGGATAAATTAGTATACTGACTTGTATGTTAGATTTTCCTTCAAGTTTCAGTGAACCCCAGCATTATGGTAAATTTTTCTCTGGAACATGACTCCAAATTTGCTAATTCTTGGATTTTTTTCACAGTAAATCAAAAGTAAATGGAGCGTAAGAAGCTGAAATATGAAGGTGCAATTGTACTTACCATGCTGGCTGGTGTTAATTTTTATATATATACATATCTTCTTTTTTAATATTGGGTAACAATGGGAAATTTTAAAGAAAATTTCCAAAGGATTTTCTCAAAAAAGCCAGGAGTTCTACAGGCTAAAGAGACGACTGTTTCCATACAGTGACACCCCAACCAGATGCTCGTTTTACAGCTTCCCCTATCTGGTGTCAACAACCCTAGACTGAGTTACTGCTGCTCGCTGTCAACAGTAGGTGACAAGCTGAGTCCCATCTCAGCTGCCATCATTTATTACCCTTATTAGGCTGAAAAGGGTCAACTTGGAGTCACAAAACAGGATTTCTTGCCTTAGAATGGAATTTTGCTGGCAAACTTAAAGGTGTGCTCTGTAACCAGTTTCTTTTACCAGCAAGTACTCGGGCTTATATGGTGTTTTTAAAGCACTGCAGTTGACAGAACTGAAATATGGATTCTTGCATTTGAGGAAATGTACCTATGAAAAACAAAGCACATTGTTTTGATGGATATATCCAGATGGATTTAAGGTCTTTCATACCTTTAAAAGTAAAAATAGTAAAATATTATCTATACTGGCTATCTCAAATCATATTTGGCTAGACTTGTTCTACTAAATTTAATTCAAATTGTTGCTCCTTATGCTTTCTTTATTTTAACAAAAAGTTCAGGTTAAGCTCAGCATCTACATCGCTTGTTGCTTTTGGTGGCAATTTGGTATTAAAACATAAAATCCAATTAAGCCTATTAATGTAAAGTCATAAGAGCTGCTGTGGGTTTGCAACATTTAGAAAATTGGAAACATCTGATTTCTAATATTTTACTTAATCTATATATGCTAGTAATTTAGCAGAAAAAATGTTTTTGAATTGAGAAAGTTACTTATTTTGTTAACATGGTGCACAATTAAAATGCAATTAAGTGGAATTAATTTGCAGACTAATCCCCAGTAACTAAGTTTGAAATGTAATCAACTGAGTTGTTAGTGGATGTTGCTTGTGTGTCAGATTCAGAGGTGTACCAAAAACATGCAAATGAAAATAAATAAATAAAATCTATGCAAGTGTTTGATTACATTTAAATGGGTTGAAATGTATCAAAATAATTAATAAAAATTAATGCATTAAAGTCAAAGCCCTAATATAATTATTTATACTCTTGCTGTAACTATATGCTGAGTTTGGCTGCGACCACAAGAATGTTGTTCATGATTGGTGTTAACATCTTCAGAATGGAAAAGTATAACTTGACCATGTAAAAACATCTTTCATATTCACAACTGTTAAAATGTATGTAGCTCATTGTGAATGTCTTTATGGCAAAGTATAGGTTACTCTGGATGCTGTTATCATTTCATTAGCTTGTCCTTTCATTTATTTCCTGTGGGCTTTTTGTTTTGACTGAACCAGAGACTGATTCATCTGTCCAAGCTGAGATCTGAGTAGATATTTACTCAATATATCAGCTCAAAAGTCTCTTGAGTTATGTATGATGTTTTCTAATAATCAGAGGGCATACTAGCTCCATTTGGCATTGGCATGTGCCATGTTATGAAAATATATTTTCATAACAAAGTTCAACATATAAAGTGGAAGCCGATGACTTGCAGGTTATTTCTGTGTAGTCAGTACTTATTTCCCTTTCAGATTTAATTGAATATGACAGTCTCAGAAGCACATAATCAGGAGAGTAAAGGCATTGTGCCTCAGAAATCTGAATACATTTGGAGAGTTTACTTTCACATTCTTGTTAGTTTTGTCTTCAGGTCAATGTTCTCAGCATCCCTTTTTGACAAAGCTCTGTTCTTTAATCTCACACTGTATGTAATGTCTTTTGTAGGTTTGATTTTCTCTACCCAAGTTTTTTCTTTGAACACAACTTCAAACCAAAGTAAGACTGTCTCGTCAGACTGTGAGCTGTATTTGGTCCACGTGAAAAAGAAAAGGCAAATTTATTGCAATATTTTGAGGGAAAGCTATTCTTTCCACAAGTAAAAGTTTCAGACTGAGTTTTAAGGAATCTGAATTCAATCTGAATCTGAAATGAAACAAAACTGATGATGGTCCATTTTGTGTTTTCAGAAATGGATCTTCTCTCTTTCTGTGAGCGTTTGTATTTCTGCTGGATACCCAAAGCATTGGAACACAAACAAATTAAAATCTTTACGTCTGAATTAATTGATTTGTGAATTAGACAACTAGCTGACAGAATACTGCATTGTTTAAGTTGTCAGAGAGGGAAAAAGTGTTTTCTGTTCATCAGTTTTAGATTTCACCGACTTGTTGATGCAAAGAAACCACTTTATGTTGGTCAGTTTCCCCTTGTAAAGATGTACTGATTTAAGAGTTTCTCTGTATAAAGTTTTACACTAAGCCATCAAATCATAGCAACACTGTTTTCTTTTAAATTTGAATGCAGCTGCGATTAAACGGAGAAGATTTCAATCTGTTTTCCCAAAATGTACATAACTTTTGATTTAACATGTATCTGCTCATCTGCTGTTAAATAAGCTGAGAAGAATATAAATTATAGATCTTTTTTTACATCTTCTTCTTTAGCTCAGGAGGTCAACTTACATCATTGTGGCGTATTGAATATTAATTATACACGTGAACCATTCTGTTGATGCTTTTTTGAGGGCTTCTTTTCAGGGTTGTTGTTTACCCAGCTGCCTTTGCTATGCGTACTACATTTAGCTCCTGAGAGTTTCATAAAACGCTCGTTCTTGCATTAAGCTAGAGTAATAAATAACACAACATAAAAAAAGCTCTTTTTGAAGTCTTTTCTCATCTCAAACAATATTTGTAACACTCTCCATTGTCACTCTGAAAAGCATTCATACTTTCCTGCCTCCATTCTCTGGTGTTGCCCCAGCGGACCTAAGCTAGATGGCTGTGCAAATTGGGTCTGACTGAAACAGGACATTCTCAATCTGTTCATGCCGTCTGTTTCTGATTTGCGCTGTTGAGCCACATTGATTGCTGAAATGGTGCACAACTCTGCTCTTGGGAGCATTGGCATGTGCCACATAGAAAAGTCATGCTGATATCCAGACTTGTTTTGAATATAGGTCGTTTGTTGTCAGTGAAATTATAAGAAAAATAAAAATTAAAAAAATCCCACAAACAGTGGATGTAGTCAGCACTGACGTAGAAATATGACTTCTGCTTACATCCTGATTTAAAAGTTGGAGTCAAGGGAGGTAAATTATCCTCCATTTATAACCATTTTCATCTTTCCAGGCCTCCGTTTGACGACACGAGTAAGTGATTACTGCAAATCATTTTTACAGCTTTGAAATACCTTCTTGGTGACATCAAATACTAGGAGGACTGATAAAGCGAGGGGCTGAGGAGAAATATTCTCCACACCTGCTTTTTGTTAGGCCAATATGTAATGTTCGGAAAGAAAAAGGCTTCAAAGTTGTTAGAAAGATTAGCCCCAGGGGTATCTGTTGGTCCGTCACTGTATCATCATCATGGTAACAGAAACGAGTCATATTCACCACTTTTTCCATGCTGTACAAGCAGTCTCAAAGCCTTTGACTTTTATGTAGACATGATGGACATTTCAAGCTGTAACAAATGCTGTCTGCTGTTCAGTTTTATCTGTTGACGCAAAAATAAATTCTATTTTTGATTCCCATGAGGTTGAAGGACCTGAGTGAAGTTGGCCCCCCCACCTTCTTCAAATCAGACAAAAATGGTGTCAAACGTTTGTGCTGCGTTTGTGCTGGTTTGTGCAGCAAAAATTTTCGTTTGTGCTGCTATCATTTGAAAGATAAACGAAATGTTTTTAGAGGTCATCAAAGGTCAACCAGCCCCCCCACCTTCTTCAAATCAGACAATAGGTGTCAATCAACTCGGCTGCGTTTGTGCAGGTTTGTGCAGCAAAATTTTTGTTTGTGCTACTTTGGCTTTGAAGATATTGATGAAAAGGTAAAGGTCAAAAGGTCAACCAGCCCCCCCACCTACTTCAAATCAGACAAAATTGGTGTCAAACGTTTGTGCTGCGTTTGTGCTGGTTTGTGCAGCAAAAATTTTTGTTTGTGCAGCTATCATTTTAAAGATATAAAGAAATGTTTTTAGAGGTCATCAAAGGTCAACCAGCCCCCCCACCTTCTTCGAATCAGACAAAATAGGTGTCAATCAACTTGGCTGCGTTTGTGCAGGTTTGTGCAGCAAAAATTTTCGTTTGTGCTGCTTTGGCTTTGAAGATATTAATAAAAGGTTAAAGGTCAAAAGGTCATCCAGCCCCCCCACCTACTTCGAATCAGACGAAATAGGTGTCAATCAACTCGGCTACGTTTGTGCTGGTTTGTGCAGCAAACATTTTTTTTGTGCTGGTATCATTCTGAAGATATTAAGAAAAATGTTCTCCAGGGGTCATCAGAGGTCAACCACTCCCCTGGCCCTACTCACATTTGGAAACATAAATAAATTTGGTGTCAACCAACTGTGCTATGTTTGTGCAGGTTTGTGCAGGAATTTTTTTTTCATTTATACTATTACAAATTATAGAACTATAAAATATTATGAGTTATATAAATAATAAGGTCATCAAAGGTCAACCAGCTCCCCTAACTTCTTCAAATCAGGTAAAATGGGCGTTAATAGACTTGACTACATTTGTTCAGCAAAAATGTTTGTTTGTACAGCTATCATTTTAAAGTTATTAAAAGAAAAGTGTCTAGAGGTCATCAAAGGTCAGCCAGCCCCCCCACCTTCTTCGCATCAGACAAAATAGGTGTCAATCAACTCGGCTGCATTTGTGCTGGTTTGTGCAACAAAAATTTAGCTGTACAAACAAACATTTTTGCTGAACAAATGTAGTCAAGTCTATTAACGCCCATTTTACCTGATTTGAAGAAGTTAGGGGAGCTGGTTGACCTTTGATGACCTTATTATTTATATAACTCATAATATTTTATAGTTCTATAATTTGTAATAGCAGTATAAATGAAAAAAAAAATTCCTGCACAAACCTGCACAAACATAGCACAGTTGGTTGACACCAAATTTATTTATGTTTCCAAATGTGAGTAGGGCCAGGGGAGTGGTTGACCTCTGATGACCCCTGGAGAACATTTTTCTTAATATCTTCAGAATGATACCAGCACAAACAAAAATGTTTGCTGCACAAACCAGCACAAACGTAGCCGAGTTGATTGACACCTATTTCGTCTGATTCGAAGTAGGTGGGGGGCTGGATGACCTTTTGACCTTTAAACCTTTTATTAATATCTTCAAAGCCAAAGCAGCACAAACGAAAATTTTTGCTGCACAAACCTGCACAAACGCAGCCAAGTTGATTGACACCTATTTTGTCTGATTCGAAGAAGGTGGGGGGGCTGGTTGACCTTTGATGACCTCTAAAAACATTCTTTATATCTTTAAAATGATAGCTGCACAAACAAAAATTTTTGCTGCACAAACCAGCACAAACGCAGCACAAACGTTTGACACCAATTTTGTCTGATTTGAAGTAGGTGGGGGGGCTGGTTGACCTTTTGACCTTTACCTTTTCATCAATATCTTCAAAGCCAAAGTAGCACAAACAAAAAATTTTGCTGCACAAACCTGCACAAACCTGCACAAACGCAGCCGAGTTGATTGACACCTATTTTGTCTGATTTGAAGAAGGTGGGGGGGCTGGTTGACCTTTGATGACCTCTAAAAACATTTCGTTATATCTTTCAAATGATAGCAGCACAAACGAAAATTTTTGCTGCACAAACCAGCACAAACGCAGCACAAACGTTTGACACCATTTTTGTCTGATTTGAAGAAGGTGGGGGGCCAACTTCACTCAGGTGGTTGAAGGTGATGAATAAACTAAAGGTCTGAAAACACTCCTGCTCTGTGGGGGGAAAGGATTCAGTATTACTTTGATTTTCTTCCTTTCCTTTTACTTTTTTGATTAAAAAGTTTTTATAAAAAGGAGAAAATAAGACAAAATTTATTTTTGTTTTGACTAACCCACAAAACTAACATACATCATGCTGTGACTTTGGTCAGACAATAGAAACTAAAAAAGTAAAGCAATAAAATGTAAGAAGAAATACATGTATATGCTCTTTTTTTATTTAAAAGAAGAATTGATACAACCGTGTAGTAATAGTAAAAAAAGTACAATGCCTGGTTATAATTTTAAATAGTTTGTACATCTCTAAGGTTTAGGGCGTGAACTTTTTTTTTTAATGAACATTACATCATATTGTGTGACAAATAATGACATGTTGGACATTGTGGTTCTGTGCACTTGACGTTAGATTTAAATAATTATTTAGCAGGGAAAAGACAGATATTTCTCTCTAATCTGTAAAGAAATAAAACTGTCCAATTTCACTATTCATAGAAAGGGATTTTTAAATCAAGGACTATTATGTCTTATATTCAAAAACTGTTGCCAGTTCAAATAAAAACAAACGAAAAACTATTATATTGAAAACAACTGTGTCTTTCTTCTTTCATTTCCAACCAAATTTCTGTCCAGATTTACTGCTGTAGCTTAAAAATATCCATAAAGCCAATCTGAAATATATTGTGACTCAGATAAGCTAGAGTAATGTTTTGCTCATTTTTTTCTGTCACGGATTGTCTTTTTGTTTTTCAGTCATGTTGCAACCCTTTGAATACGATCCAAATGAAAAAAGTAAGCACAAGTTTATGGTCCAGTCCATGCTAGCACCTCCTGACATGACTGACATGGAGGGAGTGGTAAGTGTTTCTCATCATTCTTTGGTTGTAGTTTAGGGATATTTGCTCAATTACTTTCTGTATATCTAAACTGGTTCTGCATTTTCTTGTTCTGCAAACTTGGAAAACACATTAAAAACACTTAATCCATCACAGTATCTTTTTTGTGTCTGCCTGGCCTTTTCACTATCAATCATTAAGTTAAAAAAGATTTAGATGTTTTCCTAGTCATGTTTTTGCTTATTGTTTACACTGCTGTTGTACATCAATAGGTAAAATATCTAATAGAACAGCTAGAAAAAAAAGACATGGACACTGAACTGGTTGTATGCATTTTAACTTCAAAAGCTAAATGATTTTGAAGCTTTAGTACTTACTTTCAGAAGAAGTGAAATCTCGTTTTAGAATGATTGAAACTGTTTATAATTTCAATTTTAAAAGATTTTTAAGACATCTGCTTTTACTTTGAGAGTTTTGAAAATTTAAAAGTTTTCTATTTGATAACTTAAGTATTTGGTTTATCTTGATAAATAAAGCATTAATGTGTGATTACTATCTAAACTTTTATCTTAGTTATTAAAAGTGCATGACTAAATTTAAAATGGAGTATTTATGTTCATTTTTCAAGTTGAAGACTTTTTACCCTTCTCTCACAATAAAAAGTGAAATAATACAGAAATCTGTAGGGATTCGACTTACTTCTATCTTTTTATGTTTTCACACCGTATCACCCAAAATAAAGAAAATTACGGCCGATTTATCTGTTCATTCAAACTTAGCAGAAGCGATAAATGAAAAATTAGCTCGACTGTTAGCACATTAGCAGAAATGTGTGAACCATTGCAAATTATAATTTTAATACTGAGGCTAAATTTGTGCTGTTGATAAACAAAATACAAATTTTGTTTACAAGTTCTGAGCATCATAAACTGGTTCAAATAAATACAAATATATTTTATTAATGCCTTATTAGTCATTAATAATACCAATATTAATCTACTTTTACGTTTTTGTTATGGTACAAATATATATATTATTTTAAATCTATCTAATATATTTTTGGTAAAATAAGTCTCTTTCTATAAAAATAATTCTGTGGTTATTTATTATATTAATTGTTTAATAAGCCTTTAGCTTATTAGGAGACATGTGTTATCTAATAACATAAGTTTCTTACCAATACCTGCAGTAAAAACATTCCCTCTGTTTTTCTGTCTGCAGTGGAAAGAAGCAAAGCCAGAGGAGTTGATGGACTCTAAGCTGAGATGTGTTTTTGAGATGCCAATGGAGAATGAAAAAACTGTGAGCTCTTGTACTTTTTGCTTTGCTTTATTATGCATGCTGATTGTGTCATTACATATAATTCAAACTGTTGTACTACAGTATAGTTTTATAGAAAATTTCAACATTTAATATATACTTTCACAAGAAGAGGCTGCATATTTTCTTTTTGTGCTCTCAGGTTTCTTTTTCAAAATGACAAGTTCTGGTTGTCAATTATTTTTCCATATCCTCTTGTGTTTCTTCACCTTTTCTTGCAACAACCACACTCCAACGGCTTTTAAGAAAGTCACTTTGTTTTAGTCTTACATGTAGTTTATTTTTGTTGTAGTTCTTCCTTGGCCACCTGATTCCTTTCAGCTGTAGACACAGCATTTCATCAGAGATAGCAGCTTAGTCTAACAGCTTCTTGCACACAGGGAGCAAAAAGAACCTTCAGTTGTTGTTTTGAATTAGTTATGACCTACATGAGGCATTTGCTGGGCTCCCAGTAGGGGCTGTGTGCCATGGAGTGTTTTAGGCAGACATAATGGTGATGGAAACCAGCTTGATCCTCTTATGAAATGCACTCCTGGGTGAACTCCCCTACAAAGGTGTCTATGTCTCTCCACCGTTGTAAGTGAACAGTGTTGAAGTTCCCAAATGTAAACAGATGGTTCTAACTTTGTGCCAGGCGACTAAGACGTTGTTGGGAATCTCAATGTAAACATTTTAGCACCAGTTTGCTGATTGCATCAACTCCCCGTAACCCACTTACAGCATGATATGGAGTCCAATAAGATGTCGTCGAGCTTGCTGAAGTCAGAGTCATCTGCGCTGTCCGTGAAGTCGCTGAGCTCCACCCTGGACGATGGAGAAGTAAAAAAGATAATGGAGGAGTGCAAGAGGCTGCAGATGGAGGCTCAAAGGCTACGGGAAGAAAACAAACAGATAAGAGTGAGTAAAACAACCCAAAAGACGAGAATTACTTCATTCCTTCTCGTCCTCCTTGTTTCTCTTGTCCATTTCTGAAAGGCTCACAAGTCAATAGACAGACAGGAAACTTCACTTTTTTCAATCCAAAAAATACTTTATTGAGCCCAAGGGGAAATTAAATAAAGTTAAAACTATCTGGCTAAAAGGTTGTTTTAATTGCGTTTTGAAATGTATTTTTTGTTTTGAAGAATGTGATTGCTTATCTCCCCAAATGTACAATTTGACAAATAAAACCACTCATTATCTAGACCAAGACATCCAGTCTAAATGATGAACATTGTTGGTTTTTCAAACCAGTGTCTCAAAATATGTTTGGACTCTTCTGATCAACCAGCTCAGTTATTTAAAGGATTTAAAGTTGGTTTCAAACCACTAATGTTTGAAACCAATGTTAAGTTTCTCCAAGTCTATCTTAGTCTTTTTTCAACATTTCTATTGAAAACTGCTTGACATCCATTCTTCCATCAAGATCATTTCAAATAAGATCTTGACTAGCATAAGATCAGTGAAAGGGATCTTTTAGATCTGTAATTGAGAAATCAATTATTCTGATCTGGTATCTGATAATCGGATAAAAATTTTGGCACAGTCTGTACAGTTTTCACCTAACTCTTTTATACCACATTAGAAACGCATCAACTCCCTCAGAAATTTTTTGTTGTTGTTTTGTTTTTGGCATCTGTACACTCAAAATACTGATCAATCAATTACTAAACTAGTTATTTCAACAATTGATTAATCTGATCAATTGTTTCAGCCCCAATCTGGAGTGTCTGAGAAATCATGAAAGCAACTTAAATTAATAAGCCTAAATGTTCTCATTTGTGCTGTGCATAAAGCCAAATGGCAGAAATAAATCCTGTATCCTAAATGAAAGACAGATTGAACAAATAAACTTTTCATCAAAAGTTTATATGACTTCAATAAACCGTCATTTTGGTACTGATTAATAATCACAGTAAAGTAAAGCAAATTAATTAGCTTGTTGAGTAAAAGAAAGCGGAGAGCCCTTCACCCTTCGACAGCTATTCAAAGCCCAGTTTTGCAAGAAGTACTTTAAAACAATGAGCCTGCTATCAGTCACAACTATCGATGAGGTAAGGTTTGAAAAGGAGTTCTGTGAAAGTCGGGCTGGGCATGAGTCACACACGCTCCCACCAGGCTGCCAAGAAAGAGTCGGCCTCCTCTCTAACATCACCACCATCCCTCCCCTTTAAGGTTTTGCCAGAGGCAGAGCGATTGTTGGCTGGTCCTGCAGCTCAGATTAAACTAACAGAGCGCCCCGACCCCGCCCCACCCGCTGCTGGGAAATGAAGTGTGTTAAAGCCTGGCGCCTTGTGTGTTCCTCAGGGGATTGGGTCGGATGAAACTTTAAGCAGATCCTATTTCTTTGAGCTGATAAATAAACTCTTTTCTAGGGCTGGGCAACATGACTTAAAAAATTTTTGGATCTGATTTTGTTTTCCTCTTCTGTCTTTTCCAGAATGAAAGTTACAGAAAATGTTTTCAAAAAGTGGCTTTCATTTTAATAATTCTTTCTGTGAGTTGTCTGACAGAGTATTAGGGCCAGATTACGAGAATTTTTGTTTAATTATGAGAATATATTTGGAGTAATACGGGCGATATGGATTTAAATTTTTATTACAATATTTAGTGGTGATAGTGTGACCATTAGAACCATTTATTATTTATTACTTAACTGTGTGGCTGTAACTACATCAATTATACCTCTGAAAACATGAAAAACATATCCATTCATAACGCATTTATTTAGGACACCAATCACATAAAGAAGTGTGAATTCAATATGCACAGTAACTGCATTTCAACATATATTTTAAATTTTATTGCTATTTATTGATTCTGTTGTTGAACAGTGGAGAAAACATTTTATTGTGACGATGAAGCAAAATTCATAGAACTTTATCACCATAAATGATGAACGATGCAATGAATGCCCACCCCAGTCATAATGTTAGCAGAAAAACTTTCTCAAAATTATGATAAAGGAGTTCTTTTAAGTGGAAAAAGTATTTTTTATTAAGACCTGACGTGACCTCATCAGTTTGTCAATCTTTATTTAAAATAATTGAATTCAGATAGTAATTTCATTCTGTTATTAAAATATTAACATTTTCTATTAAGTATATTCTTAACATTAAATCATCTATAAAACATTTACCAAAGTATAGCTTCACAAAATGCTCAGCAGTCCTCATTTTAGTTTTTGTTGTTTTTTGTCAGTTCTCATAAAATTACGTTTTAAATTATTTTGCTAATATTATAACTTTATTCTTGTAATTAATAAAAATAATAGCCTGACCCCCTACATTTTGTTGCAGAGGTGAGGTAAATAGAAGCTGTACAAGACGCTTGTCAAATTAAAAATGGCCGCTTTGGGCATGCTGACATCACTCTGAACTATGGAAACCCAAAGAGGACATTAGTGGGGAAAAAAATCCAGTTTTTCCAAAAAATAAAACTTCAAAACAGAAAATTCAATGAATCAATAAAATCCATTCATTACCCAACTGATTAACAAACCGGACATTTTTTTAACATCTTCCTCCGTTTCTCTTCCTCCTCCAACCCGATGCAGGAAGACGATGGTGTCCGGAGGAGGAAGACCAACATCATGTCATCCCAGCATGCCTCAGGCTCCATGAAGAGGGAGGAAGGTTTGAGTGCCCGCTCCATGGCCCTCATCCTCCTCTTCTTCATCGTCGGCGTCATCGTGGGGAAGTTGGTGTTGTAGAGCGCAGCACTTCGGTCGGCCGCAGCATGCTTTCATGGTGGATGAAAATACACGCAGGATCTGGGATTTTTGGATCAGAATGCCATATTTGCTGATTGGGGTTGGGGTGGGTGGGACGGACGGGGTGGTACTAGTTTTGATTTAGACCCATTTATGTAAAAAGTTTAAATTTAAAACGGTAATCTATGAGAGGAAAAAGAGGAAGAAATGACTCATCTTAAGAACAAACACCTCTGTAATCATCGCATAATCCTTCTGGCCTTCTTCCCAAAGTTTCATGTATTCAGATGGTTTATTTCAGGGGTTCGTGGAGAAACGGATTCATAATTTAACTGGTAATTCAGTTCAGTGAGTCTTCTAACAACGAGCGAGATAGCGTCGATGCGTCCGGGTCAGATTGCAGCTGTGCGAATGTCGTTTTATTTGATTAGACTGTCATTTCTTTTTCTAATTGATGCACGCCAGAGCCAATCTTCTCCGACATGCGACAACTCCACCGCACAGTAAATCCTGCTTTTCCTTCTGGTGGAACCCTGTTTTTAAAGGAAGGGAGGGCCCAAAAGGTCAGGGGTCGCGCACAGGGCTACAACAGAGTCTTCTCCAGTCGAAGGCTTTGTAAAATCTCGTCTTTGATTGTGGAACAGCTTTGATGTGCGTAAGAAACACTACAAAGGGTGTTTTATTTCCTGCCTTATTTTTATTTTTTGTTGCCCTAATTTATTCTCGCCACCTGTCAATCACTGCTCACCACATCCTCACTTGTCAGAGGATATTTGCATGCGTTCACATGAGTGTTGCATCTGAACTTTTGAATCTAATTGAATTGCTTTTGTCATTTGACTGTAGATTTGCACAATTTAATTGCTGTTTTTTTTTCTCCTTTCTCCTTTGTCCTTTTTTTTCTTGCAGTTATTTTTCTTTTATGTTATATATATTTTTTCTTCGGTAGGAGGTAAAGCAGTCAAAAGTATTTCAGCAAACTGAAGTGACGTTTGGATGGTTTCTGTAAATCGATATGAAAGCTTTGCCTTGTGACCTGTTGGGGCAAGTTATTCTCAGGCCAAGATGGAGGTACAATTACAGTACATAATAGACTGAAGGAGATCAAATGGCTTTCCCTGACATCAGCAGGATCAGGGTCCTGAATGTGAGGGGGAAACTACTTTTTTCAGCTCTTGTTTTCCTCCATCTCGTGACATTTGTTGACATTCTGTCTGATTTCTGGCAAATTGCATGTAAAAAAAACAACAAAAAAATACATGCCTTTGAGTTTGTTTGTTTTTTTTAGTTATTTTTGTGAATTAATCTCTGCTTTGCATCACAAACATTGTAATGCACTAAAATGAAAAGGATCACTGATTCTGCAGCTGATTTGATGTCTGAATCGGCAGCAGAGAATGAATGAATACAAGGCTGTAACTTCGGGGACCATGTTCGCAAATCATCTTCAAATTCATATTCTGTGGTAGACGAGTGTCTTTTTTAGTTGTCATTCTTCGAAAGAAAAATAAGCAGCTGGTGAGATTTATCTTCATCTGTACAAATCAAATGATCAGAAAAAGGTTGAGAAAAACTTTCTTTCAGTTCACATTTGCTGAGAAATAAAGAAAATGTCAGAAATGTTCTATTTTTTTCTTCTGTTGAGTGAAGGGAAAGTTGGTATGGATCTGATTGGTGGGTAAGTAAGCGGAAATAAACGCGAGTTTGTGTTTTTACTGTATCTCTGTGAGGTTTTTGGGTTGAGGATCACTTTCTGCTTTGGAGGGAGGGCAGAGCAGACCGGAGCTACAGTTCAGTCTCCAGTGTTTCCACAAAGTTGTTCTTTAGTTCTATCCAGTTTGGAGCGTCCAAATGTTTGGCACTTTTAAGAACACCAGATTATAACTCGGTAATCAAATGTGTGAATTTGACTCTGATGCTGTAAATTTCACCGTATGGGACTGACCAAATAAAGCAGTTATGTGTGAACACTAACAGATTCGGGCCTGGTTGTAAGATGTTCTATGCTGAACCTTCCTGAAGTCTCCGAACATCACCGTGATCATTGTAAGCACTCAAGAAACTGTTTTGTATGTACATAAATAAAAAGTCTATCTGAGAAGATGATTAAAATTCTTAGTCGAGTAGTCTGGTGTTAAAAAAAAAAAAAAAGAAAAAAAAAAGCACAAACGAATAAAAACAAACCAAAAAAAATCTCCAACCTGACCTGGTTGGACTATGTAGCATCTTAATAAATTAAATGAATAAAGCTTCTTCCTAAATGTGTGAAGTTATTTTCTGTTAAACTTTGAAGCTTTATCACTGACTCAGAACACCACAAAATAATTTTTAGTTTCTTTATGTGATGAGAGATTATTGTGGAGTTAGAGAGACGCAGCACTTAAAGTTTGCTGATTAACTAAATGAGCTCAAAATGTTTTTCTTAGTTGATTTTTTGTTGTGATTGATAAAGCTCATACAATACTGAGCCAGGTTTTGCTGGAAGTTTCTTCCTGCTAAAATCATATTTTAATAGCTTTTTGTTTTCCTTTTTTTTTAGTTACAGCATTTTGAAATAAGGTTTAAGTAAAAAAAAATTTCTTCAAAGAAAATACTTTTTATTTCTTTTCATTATCCATCGCAAGGAACCCCTTTCGTGGTTGGAAAAAAAAAGTCCTTGAATTAAATTTAATCAATACATTTTAAACAAAAAGTATCCTAAAGTGCTTTAAAAGAGAGAAAATCACAAAACAATTATTTCCATCTACAAAAATGGAAAAATGATTCAAGCACAGGACAACGTTCAACAGGTATCAATAAGAAAGATAGAAATAAAACGTCAGGACTTTTAAACAGGTTTGTAACTTAGATTTGAAGACAGTGACATTCATACTAACAGTTAATATTCTTTTTTTTTTTTTTTCTAAATCTGCAGTGAAAATGAGTTTTTGTTGAATTTGAAGAATGGTTGAACCCTGATCCAGGCCTTGGCAGCTGATGTTCATAATGTCAACAAGTTTCAGGAGTCTGATTATTAATTAATGGAAATAAAAAACATAGTTTTTGAGGACTTAGGAAACTCCAAATATGTGAATATAGCATGCAATTTAAAAAATTAGAGTAAGGAATAAAAATTAACAGATCATTAACTGACTTCCTCCAGTGACTTGCAGCCAGTACCATTTGTGCCCAAGCTGCTTTGCTGGTTGTTCCTTCTTGTTTGATTTGGCAGGACCACAATCTGCAGTGGATTTAATGGTAAAATATTTACAGCTGCAAGCAAATTAATCACTGCTTAAAATTTTACTCAGTCAGTTGTGGTTTTAAGAAAAAATAAATTTCTGTAAATCACCCAGAGTTATTGCTTGAGTAGCAACCACACAATGTTTCTGTGTGTACCTCCTGGATGAAGGCGGCACAGCTGAGGTTGAGGTCAGGAAGCTGCCCTCATGGGCCAGTAGCTCTTCGGCTGTTTGGCTTGGCTTGACTAGAGCACAGCTGCAAACTCGGTAAGCTACCAAGATTACTTTATGCTCTTATATTCAATTTGGAAAGAATCTATTTTCAAAATAAATTGCTGGATAATGCTTGAAATTACTGAGAAGATGAAAATGACAGGTTTGTGGTTCAAGTCTCACTTGAAGGAAAAGTTAAGAACATTATGAGTTTCAAAATTCAAGCCTGTGACTTTGACAGAAGATTGTGACCATGGTGAAACATCAAATTTGAACAAGATTAAACAAGATGTAAATTGCAAATTGCAATAATTGTGGCTTCTGGATGTCTTTTTTTTTTTTTTACCTCTGCCTAAAACTCAGTCAACCAGGTTTATATAAACACTTTGAAAACACAAAATCTCAGCATGTATTTTTGTTTAGTTTATAGCTCAAATATCTCCCAGTGAAACTACTTTTTTGATTTAAGATTGATTTAAGAGAAGTTGTTGTCTTGCTGAAGATATTTGCACTTGAAATTTAATCAAAAATACTTTGTGTATTTGCAGTGTAATATTTAATCTGTGAGGAATCTAAGCGACCCAGAGGAAATCACAAGCTTTTGAAATCGATTTGCATTTTATAGCAGCTGCAGAAAAATGCATTTAATATGTATTCTTACCTATAATGAAATGAAAACGTCTAAACTTCCAGCTTGTTGGTGTGATAGATGAGGAGTTCATCTTAAAAAAGCAGAAAAGAATGCAGCGCTGGTTCTGTTCAGTTGGTTCAGTGAGTATGAGCATGAGGTCATGACAGAAAGGAGCTCGCTTTCTGTTTGGCCTGAGATCAAGGAAAACGCTTTTGCTGCTCTCCGCTGCAGCTCTGCGGCCAACAATACAGAAGGTTGTTGTTTAAATAGAAACTCAATTGTTTGAACTAAGCCAACCAAGTTGTGGCTCATGTTTTCTTTTTTGGATGCAGCTGCAGCTCATATTCCTATAGAAATAATGGGATTTTCTTAACCGAGCCTGAAATGTTGAATGAGTGGGAGAAGTTGGAAGTTACCCATACTACCGCAGTGAAATCATCTCAGTCATGTCTGTGAGCATTAACTGCACATGTAAGATTTTCTTGGGAATGTTGGAGAAGCGACCAGAAGAAAGCCTGTCCAAAGTCAGCAGTCGGTCCTTCTTTTACTAGAACATTTGTCAAACTAAACCACTAAACTATTTGTGGTTTGGAAATTTGGTTTGACTGAAAAGAAACCTTTTGGAATCTTTCTTTTAGTTTTTTAAGACCAAAAAATGTGTTTCTGGAGTCAAAACAAAAGCACTGCAGAGTCATAAGAAATAATTTCGAAACAAAGAATCTGATGAGCAGCAGAGATTTACAACAACTTTGTGAACTCCTCAACTGCCCCTTCATAAATGTCCCCCCCTTACATTATTTTTCTTTCAATTGACATAATTTTGGATCACACTTCTAGTTTGGATGGTTTCAACTGGAGGAATGTTGGCCAGTTTTCTCATGTATTACCACATCTGTCTCTTAATATTTCTGTTAGTCTTTTAATGGTTGGCACTTATAAAATCCTGCAGTATCACATTTTATGCCTAAAAGGAGTCATTTTGTCTTCACTTTCTCCCATGACTTAAGTGAAACAGCTCACCTGACATTTA